AAATAAAGTCTTCATCCACACTCCTGTTATTGTCTTCTGTATCTATGATAAACAGTACACAAAGTTTATTTGTACTGCAAAAACTTTTGACTAAATATGAGACACATTATTGAAAAATGCCCTGGCTATTTCAGCTGTCACAAGGTTGTGCTCAGGTATCTGTTTCTTTTAATATTGCAATGTTAATGTAAACCTTTCAAATCACTTTGCGATGTCTCCCCATGACCACTGATTCTGCTCCTTTTATCCTCCAAACCTCAAGTGCTTTATTTCTTAAGATCTGCAGGTTCCTGCTGAGCTGACCTGGTTCCCCCAGATGAAGAATCTCTTCCCTGCTGTGAAGGGTTGCTATCTTGCTGAGAGTGGCCACATTCTCACGTAGAAGTCACTGATTTTATAGCTGAGCTGCAGCCCAGAACCCAGGAACCATGTAAGATTTCGGAATGCTTTCAATTCTTCCTGGTTATTTATACGTTCAGGTACGTTATTTTGCATTATTTTAAAAAATAAGGACCTAAATGTCACAACTAACAGAGCATCAAAACTAACTTACCATTGTTACTTATAGTACATAATATGACAAACCAGAAAAATGACAAAAATATTTTTTATTGAACAGACATAAGTAAATTCATTAGACTGATTAATATTTGCCATCAGCATGGATGGTCAACAGCAATCTGCTGTGAAAGTCAGTCTAGTTGCATATGTGACAACCACTGGAAGGCATGCAAGCTGTACAGCAGTGACTCATGCTCTGTGCCAGGCTGCAGGTTCTGTGATCTAGTGTGGTTCTCTTCCATTCCTCTCGTAAAGGCTCGACAATCACATACCTGTTCACTGTTCTCTGAGCCCTAGATCCCACATCATCCCAGCTCATCCCACCAGTTTCAAAATGGGGTTCAAGTCAAGAGTATTGACTTGGTATCCCTGCCATAACTGTCACATTCTCATTGTGCAAAAAAAGCTTGTGTTACACAAGCACCCTGAGGTTGAGTGTTACCCTGCTGGAATGTGGCCTCGACAGGATGAGCCCACAAGAAGGGCAGCAAGTGAGGTCCAAGGACTGCTCTTGGAAGTACTATGCAGTCAGGTGTCTAGTTATTTAGACACCCCTGCCCGAATATACAGTAGGACAGTAGGTTTTCATCAACTGTTCTGCTGTATACCGCAGTTAGGGTGTCATTCTGTATGTTGAATACAGAATGAGGAAGTCCATCAGGGTGGTCTACACAAGGGATCGCTAAAGAAGACTTGATCACTGCTAGTGAGAACACCTGATGTCACTTTGTAGGAAAGGTCTCATTTTCTTCATAAGAGGGGTATATTGGTTCTTTTGGGTGTTTTCATTTCAAGCCTGGCATTCAATAGGTATCACATTATCTATACACATTCACTATGAATTGATTAAGTACTTGTGCAAAGTCACTCAAGAGTATCATGGTCGCTAGTGAATGATTAATTCATCTTCATGATGCCAAAAATATTTCAACACTATCCAAAATCTTTATACTTAATTTTTCTAAAAACATACTGTACATGCATACACAGAGTGTTAAGCTTCTTTTGATACTATGTATAGAACAAAGACACATGGCTCAAATACTCATGCAGAGGTGTAGCTATGTTAAATTGGTTCAAGTGTTCCAAAAGGTCCTCTGACTTACTGTACACAGCAATATAAGACTCTGCTTCAACCTACTGCCAACAGAAGACTGCTTCTGTGCTGACCCATCATGTAAACCAGTATCAATCATCAGAACCAGACTGGATATTGACAAGGGAAATATACTCATTTATATTTTCCAATATATGGTTTAAATAACGATTAAGAACTCCACTTGAACTACTGAGTAAAAAATAAATAAATAAAAACAATTAAACTGCAGAAACAAAATGCATTAATAAAGTTTTAAAAATATATAATTTAAAGGCCATTTTGCCCATCTACTGGGATTGGTAGATAGGATCTAACTGATCCCAAAATCACGTCTAGCCAAGCTGCAGACCACGACAGATCTGAGGATCTGATATGGTCACCATGTGATCCAAGATGACTCCCTTCACAGCCCTTGAAAAGTAAAGAGGCCCAATAAACAGCCCTGTCAGCCAGATCACATGTAATCCAAACTGACGACAATACATGTCTCCAATATGCAAATGCCATCACTGATTAATTGCAACTTGCAATCTAGATCTCCTGGTGTGAATGTGAGCATGTATGGGATGGGACAAGCTGCAGCCCCTCGCTAACACAAAGACGTATGGGAGACGTATGGGGGTACCTGGAGGGTCCTATCCCAGAATGTGTCCATCTGCCAAACCGTGACGAATCAGGGAGACACACATGTGATTCGGATCACATGGGGAAAGCCTTGACGTCTGATCTTTTTTATTTTTTATTTGATAGAATTCTCAGCCCAGACAGCTTGGACTGTTCGGTGTGGTCTTTTTTTGAATGGACCTTACCAAAGTAAAAATGGAGTTATGCAATGTTCAGTAATTTGCTCCATTCATGTTCTAAATAAATAGCTACATACCATAAAATAATATGTGTTCTCTGAAGATCACTCTTTCATTGTTCTTACACTGAATTAAGCTTACAGGTAATATACCTGTATAAAACCACCATGTGCCTTTATTTAAACCTTTATCATTTATTAAGCTGTTTTATTAATTTATTCACTTCTCAAAGGTGCAAGAGTTGAAGCAGAATAGAGAGTAAAACGAGTGGTGTACAGTATAGCTTTTAGAATAACAGGCTTCAATAATTACATTATGTTAATTTAGTTGCATGCACTCCTTCCAAACAGTTTTGAATACAGTACATCTTTATATCACCATTAGTAAAAAAACAACAGCACAGAACCACACATTTTAATAGGAAATATAAAAAAACAAAACAAACCTTTTCTGTCTAAATTACTGTATATTACATTCATTAGTTATAGAAATGGACTAGGACTTAAACTATGTTATGCCTAAATTTATTCATACTTATCTTTAACATTTGGGGTGTCTCTGTATTTGCAATGAATTTAACCGTGTTAACATGGGGACTATAAATCACGTCTGAGTGGAAATACTTCAGGTATTAATTGTTAAAAAGAATAAATAAGCATATGAATAAAACAAGTATAAAGAGGAGAAACAACAGTGATCCGCTACATACTGTACAAAGAAGCACTTTTAGATTAAGATGTAACTCAGGACTTGGAGTTTAAGAAAGGCTCCGTTAAATTACTCCTTCATAGGGGTTTGTTTGTAGAGAAAAAAAAAATGATATGTTGATTTTTTTCAGTTACAGTATATGCTGCATAGTATGAATTACCATATCATACCAGTCTTGTGAGATAATGTTATTTCAAGTGAGGGAAGAAAATGCATGCACTATGTAATTTTGATTTCCCAATGGGAAATCCTTTGGAAGAAACGGCACATCTCATCAGAAATAACCCATTTCAAAAGAAATGATGCAAGTTTAAAAAGTAGGTTTATTTTAAGACAGATACTGAACGGATTTTTAGTCATGAGAGACTAAAGCTCACATTTGCAGAACTTTCCGTCTTTATTCTGATCTTTAATCAAGTAAGTTCATCTATAATTTTAAATGGTGTACAAAAATTGCAAATAAAATATCTATCAGTGCAAATTAAAAACAAAGAAAACATTTAAGATCCAAGTGCCAACAGATACATTAAAGTGGACGTCTTTGTACTTTTGTTATTTCAGTCTTATTATACATCACATAAATTTAATACCTAAAATATTTGGCCTTCAACTGACAGCACAAAATTTAATAATTCCGTTATTGAGATAAAGCAAAAGAAGTATGAAAGGCACATTTAAATCATTTCATTGCAGTGTGAGCTGCCAATTCATCTGTGAGTAGTTTCATCACAGATGAAAAGAAATCAAAATATGGGACAGATGTTGAACAAACCACGTTTAAGCTCTGTCACAAAACGGCATTTTTAAAATGATTGGGGCTCATCTATTAAATAAGGTGCAGTTTACTCTATTTTGAATAGGAAAACATCAGGAAATATTTAAACAAGCAATTGTTGCCAATTAACTTTGATCATAACAACTGGCATTTGAAACTCTCAGAGCCATTCTGCTGTCTGTCTTTAGAAAGTAGAGTATCACGGTGACGAATGTGTTTTGGCATGCTTACTACGGCTTTCTTCACACTTCAGTATCACACAATACACTTCCACCATTCTAAGGCTGTCAATTGTGAAGTGGAACATCGGGGAAAAGGCTGAAGCCAGTGGTTTCATATTTGCAACGCAAGGTGAGCTGCCTTAGTGTCCTGATGCCAACTCTGGTGGTCAGAGAAACGAAGTGTTAACATAAAGATATGTTCATGTGGGTGCAGGTGACCACAAACTCTCACGTTCCAGCCTTGCCGATGCCCAGAAACGCAAAGCCTGTTATTTCTGCAGAACAGATTTTACACCACAAAGCAAGAACCACAAGTCCAGACACAGGTTTCATACCGTGACCCAGAAACGCTGCTTTTTCCCCAACTGCGACACCAAGAACACACAGCTTGATACACAGACAGACAGATCTGCTATAGAAACACTAGAACCTGACAAATTGTACCTGCCACTGGGGGAAAGAAGTGGGGTCTAGTCACCAGGCCATGAGACTGACAGTGCATGCAAAATTCATGATGTCCCATGGGCTCAGAGGTAATACTTCACCACAGCAGGACGTAACTGAGAAATAGGCACCCTGCTATTAAATGGTTGTTGATGCTTAAGCTAAATATTTAATGGTCTGCTCTTAGTAGTAATGTAATGTATATACTCTATTGTGACTTACCTACATCTCCAGCTGGGTCTTAAATATTATGGCTAAGTAAACATGCTGCTAATTATAATAAGGAAGACATTTTTGCACATGGTACAGATAAAGTGTAGGTTGTAACATTATGCTCCATATACTGTAGATCTGACGGTTGTGCAATAGGATTTGTAGAAATCGCTTACCTCCAAGTCATTGAAGAATAGATGCGTATCTGCCAAGTTGAAGATCATTTCTTCCATCCTAAGCCCTAGTGACACTGATGTTGGTGGGTCCTTCAATAAAAGAAACATTATTTGGATGTAAACATTTTTTCAAAGCTTTCCATTTCTGATATTTATACCATGTTTAAGCATATTTAAAGTGATACACACAAACACGTGATACATACAAACTCCAGCTTTTAAAAATAATACTGAAGACAGGGAAACAGATACATTTATTTGAGAGATGTTAAACACAACTGTGAATTAAAAAACAAAAATCGACATTATGCAGCAATGAAACGACTGAAGTGACAATATACAGTTGACTTTATAATCATAGTAAAAATTATTTCAAAATTGCTGGCATTGTCATATTGTCAAGTTTTTATTAAGTTTGAAACAATAACATTAAGATTAAAACAAGAAGGTCATTGTTATCTTATTCTCCTGGGATTGCAAATGTAACTGTTAGTTCAATCCTGTCAGCAAGCTGTTATTCCATAATGAATTTATGGTTCGCCTTAAAATTCTCACACTGAATTAGTAAGTACATATTAGCCTTATTCAAGAGGCACTCAAAGGAGGACATAAACAATGTCTCATAAAGATTTCCATATGAGTGGTTTACATTGTTTTGTATTTTTTTCTGGTGGAGTCTTCAAATTTACATTAAAATATCTGCTAACAATACAAGACTCCCATGGAAATTTGAGCTCATGTGACCACAGAAATTGAAAAAACAACACAGACACATGGAGGCTGTTTCTGTCCTTAAATACTTAATTTCACATTTCCCCTTTTAAATAATCCAGGCCCATCTGAAATCATCAATTTCGGGGAGTAACTCCTATCGCAATTACTTTCACATTCAGACTTCCCAAGTTAAAAATAAACAGACAATGATGCAGAGAAGTGTCCATCATTGATTTATTCTGCAAGGTGAGAGATTACGCATCTTAAAAAATGGATAATAAATGTAATTTCAAAGAATGGTGTTGCAGCCCTCCCCTTCACACAACAGAAGAAAGTTACATTTTTCTGTGCACAAACAGATCTTTAGTGCTTTGTGAGTACTAACACATTAGGAACAAAGTCAAGAACATCTCCAGAAAACTGCATTCTTTTCTCACTTTGTTATTCCCTTCTGAGTTATGAAGCTCCACGGGCTAAAATGTCGATGAGCCAATTCTATCAGTTTCATTAAATATCCCGTAAAACAATGATTCATAGCACTGTTGACTTATTGCAGTAGCTAGGACCCTACTTCTGTTTTCTGAATATCAGGGCCCTAATATATTTGGAATCCACATTTTTAAATCATTATGTTACAGTCACGACAGGGGCTTAAATGTCATTGGTCGTCCGGCAAAAGACTTTATGAGCACAAAGTCCTAGAAAAAAACAAAACAAAAATAGAGAACACAACATACAGGAAAGCCATTGCCAGTACTGTTATTTCATTGTTCCACTGCTTTTTCTATTAACAAGTACATTTTATTTGTATAAAAATGCTATACTGGCTATAAATGTAAAGCAGAAAGCTGGTCTGAAAGCTGATACTGGGAGCTTGGTGAAACCCTGTTTTAAATAGTTAATGAACCCATGCCAATATGTGATTTCCAATCTAAACCAGCCTGATCTGGGAAGTCACTGAACAGCAGAATATGAATTACATATACTGTATACAGTATGTACACACTTTGTGCTTGCGTGTGCATTCTGCTTTCACCTTTTTGGACTCAGTTATGCTTCATGAAGCATAGCTTGTGAGTTAGCGGGACACAACCATCTTATCTTTTAAGCTGAGCAGAACTGCAGTCAATGTCAACTTTCACCTTATAAATGCCTCAATCAAGGCAAACAACTTCAGGATTACACAAGAGGAACTGGCTCGTACAACTGCCTAACTGAAAGAAATGCAAAGGTAGAATAGTATTTAAATCCTTTTGCTGCAAAATAAAACGAAGATAAAAAACAACAACTTTTGATTCCAATATGTCTAAATTGCATCTTAGAGAACAAGTGGTCCCAAAAGGTGTCTTAAAGACCTTCCTTAAGTAATCAAATTAAAGTAAAGTTGAATGTATACTTTGCAGGATTTGCTTAAATATACTGTACTTAATTATTCTGAATTTCTAGAATAAGTCTTTAATAAAAGGCACATTTAAGGAACTGTGGGAACATTTGTGCAGTTAATTCTTGTAGAATATCCAGTGCTTTACTGGGTTTGCATTTTGTTCAGTTTCTGACGGGACTAATCAGTTTGAATTGTAATAACATACTTAGGAGAAACCCTGACAATACAGGGCTATCTGAAAGGATTTGTGGCTCAGTGAAACATGTCCTTTCTATACTACTGGTAAGACAGGTAGGAACCTTAGTGGGAGGTAGGGATTATGAAGAACATAACCACCAGTAGAAGGACCCAGGCTTTTTGCTGATTGCTAAGCAGAGTGAACAATGGTGTTTTATGTCTGTTTTAATTAACCTTACTGAGGAACAATCACGTGAGCCAAACTGACCTAGAGGAAAAAACAACAAAAGAAACACCTGCAGGCCTCAGTAAAAATAATCAGGATTGCTTTTTTAGCCATAAGCTCAGCGACAGGCTAAGTGCATTACTTTTTTATAACATAATTCCCTTTATGTCAATAATTTAAAAATATTCACACGCATGGTATGGAAGAGTCCCATGTTTTTCTATCAGCCCCTTCTCTGTAACCTTTGTCAGCCCAGATCTTTTTCGGCAATTTAGCTACTTCAAGATGTTCGTAATTCTGCACCAAAAACCCGAGCATTTCATCTTGTGACAAAGCTGAGAAAGATCCCCCCGTCTGACTCATCTGTGCATCCGTGGCTTTGAGAGGTCTGAATCCGGAGCTCTCTTTCTGAACCAAACACTAAGCAAGTTCAGAAATCAGCCAGGCCAGAAAGCCCAGGGCTGCTGCTGTCATTCCTGCGCCTGCACCTGCCTCCAGCCTTCAGACCCATCCAGAGGGTGCCAGCTTTTTTCTCCGTCTCCTCCAACCCAATCGCCACACAGCTGGCCTCAGCCATCAGCTTTATGGGACTGAGCTGCCTTGATGCCAATTAGGATAACTGATAACCACAGCAGTGTTCTCAGATAGAACTCTATTTATAGTTCAGGCTTCAGAGCTCAGAAAAATACGGTTTTCCAACTTTTTGTCTGTAAGTAAGGCACAGTAAATGTAGGCAGGCTGCGTATATGTGTGCCTGAGTGTTTGAATCTTTTTGTTTTCATTGAAACTGCTAAAAACGGATAAAAAGATGTTTGATTTCCCTCCAACTTTCAGCCTACAGTACAAACCTGCCTGGCAATCTGTGTGCTGTGGTTTGCCAAAATAAGGCCTGAAGTCTGTCTTTTGAGACAGCAGATTTGTTTGTTGTGTCCAGGGAAAAGAACACTTCTGCCCTGGAGACCTCAGCACCTTTATCGATTCAGCATGCCCATGGAGGAAAAGTAAATAAACACCAGAGGGACAAGGGGGCTCACCTCTTTTCTCCCTCGAAACGCACACAAGTCAAGGGAAGACTGAGCTCCAATCACACATTTTTCATTAAAGAACAAAGAGGAGCCATATTGAATGCCCATTATATCTTAACACTGCCACACTCCCGCACTGCGTTTACCCCCACAGAGTTCTTCTGTCTTCTACATAATATTTGTGCTTATAGACAGAACACTTGAAACTATTTTTCTTATACTATGGAGCATTAATAGTTCAACAGACTATGTACAATGTACAATTTTCAAAACTTGAAACAGATGTACCTATGGGTTATAAGTGTTTAATTTTTAAATAGGTTAACCTGTAATAATCTATAGTCTTTTAAAATAAATGTTTAATCCCACTAATTAAGTACATATAAAAAAAATGCCATGACAGAAGGAATTTAAAAGCCCAGTCCAAAAATGAAGATACAGTATGTCTCCAAATAAATACGAGCAACTTCTTGGTGACATAGGGACACTGTGTGAATGAACTCAACAGCTTTTCTGCACATAAAAAGACAAGTCTTTTTGATTCATGTCTTACAATAGACGTGATAAAACATTAATTAGTGGAAAAGTATCTGATACAAATAAACAGTTTTATTTAATTTTGCTTAGACAGCCTTCCCTATTTTAACAGGCACTTGACTGATTTAAGTTTGTTCACACCATTTCCAATCTGCCATGATTCTGCAGTAGGTGTTCCACAGAAATGTAGTAAAACATACCATTATCTACAGTATTACCTTTTCTTTAGAACAGGACACTGCATAAGATACTCTTACAAAAGGGTTTGTTATCTCAAGTCCACCCATGAAAAAGAACCAGTGTTCCAAGATCTGTTGAACCTAAGGCTACACTTACTCATGCATCCATGACATTTTCATTGGACATCCACATTCACCTTATAAAATCTTTAGCCCTTCAGAGATGTTTTTGTTTACCGATAAAACATGCCACCAGGGTCCGATGTCACTTACCCTGCCATATCTATTGGCGTAAGACCCAGTGAGCAAGGAATGGAAAACGATGATTGTTTCATCCAAATCCCATATGAAAACGCGCTGTGAAACAAGGGAGAAAATCAATACTGCACTCTGTACCCTGGAAGGTAATACCTAAGTCAATAAACCAAGAAGGTTTATATTTAAGTGGCACTGTGCTACAAGTCCATTTGCTTCTGTCGTCTACCAGAGGACTTGAAGTCAAAGCCACTGCTCCACACTGCCCTCTCTTTTCCCCTCTGCATTAAAGTAATCAATACAAACTGACCAATTAACTAGAGATATTAACCAGAATTCTCATCTGACTGTGTACAGTCATCACAGGTTAACAGCCTTAAAACCTACTAGGCTTCCAGATTAAGTCCTTCCTTTTTTAATATATCTAACAGATATAATCGATCAGACATACAGTATATGATATAAACGATTTCAAATGTGCCCAGTTTTTGAGATTTTAAATTTAGATTATTTGACGCATTATTCTAATTTATCCATTCTGAGAGATTCGTGCATTAGCTTATTTCTAATGTAAGGGAAATCGAAATATCCTAATCATGAAAATAACATTTCTGTAAAGATTTCTCTCTTTTCTGTAAAAGACGTCTGTAATGCAATGATGCTTAACAGTGGCTGCAAGCAAAAATAATGAAAATGAACATTACCCGTTCACACTACTTATTGATCTCATTATATTACAAAAAATGTTCCTCACATTGCTGCCTTCCAGTGTTATGGTTCCACAGTTAGAATCTATGGATCTTAATGAAACAAATTCTCACAAAATGCTAAATGTAATTCTAGAACATTACAAGCCATTGTTTCCTGGAGGTTTTAGCATTGCATTTCCAAGTACTTGTCTGCGAACATGTGAATCTGTGTGTCAGATACTGTGTTGACTGGAATGTTTCAAAAGTGACCCTCCCCTGAGGGGCCGGGGAGAAGCTGGACTCCACACTGCAGCAGTCCCACAGCCACTGACAGAGAGGCACGAGCCATCAGTCCTACCTCAAGGTCAGAGTCCGGTGGAGGCGATGGGTTATTGTTCCTTCTGCCTCGGCCACGTGATTTTCCATCTGAAGCCCGGCGCAATCGATCCGAATCTGAATCTTTAATGGGAGTTGATGGACTGTGGATTGTACTGTAGTCTCCTGAAAAACAGAACAACAAAAAAAAAAGAACTTTCACCTTCCCGTACGAACATGGTGGGCAGGATCTTCTTACATTGTGGCCAGCTGTGGGCCTTGGGCTCTGCAGTCATTTTGCTTGATACTCCACTAATGCATTGCATGCATCCACAATACCCTTAGGACAGCATGCTCTGCAGTTAACTGTACTGGCCTGTACCACATATTGAGCTTGCAATTCATTTAATTAGCTTGTATTAAAAAACTGCAAACTGTAGTTTGCATGTTACCATAAGATTCTGACAGTGCATATGCTGTAATACATTGGATTTTTTTACAGACATCACTATGTTTTCTTAGGCAATGAAGCTGATATACATGGAGTTACTGGCATCGTTATTTGGGCCCCCTGTCTGAACTCATGTCGCCTACAATCTTAAAACCTGCTCAACACATCAGTAAAAAACTGTTTCAATTAGAGGCTCCTAATAGATTTGCCTGAGACTTGAAATATTTCGCTTCTAAGACTGAACATTATTAATACAGCTAAAAAAGAAAATACATTCACCTTCCCAATTATCCAAACAACACAATGCTTAAACAATATGACCAGTGACTTAAACTCATAAACTAGTTCTACAAAAGTATACTGACTTTCTCAAAGAAAAATGCAACAGGGGACGATATATTAGCAATTGACTACAAACGTTTCACAATAGAATGTTCCTCCTTTTTAGCAATCACATACCCTGAATATACCCTGAGCTTGTCACTGTATTAATCAATTCCAAAACCTTCCCGGTGGTACTGCATGACACTGAAGAACAGAATGTAAGTGGACATTTAATGTACACGTCCAGCAAGAAGATCAGGAAAACCTTTGGCAATACGGCCTTAATTTCACAAACATTCTTTACCATTTTCATACCCTAAAGTACTACCTCCAGGAGCCAAAAACTCAGAGAGGGCCACTGGAATGATACTGCCTTCGAATGATACTGCTTAACTGCTTTTAATCATTCCTCATGATTTCATTCTCAATCTATGATTTTTTTCCTTTCATTTTCCTTGACTCAACTAAGGTTTTTGAGCTGCGGTTCTACCCTATCATGTCAGATTCCCAAAGGCATCTCTTCATCTGATTCCTGGCCTGCAGTGAATGCCATTCCCAGTCAGATTAAGGGAGATGATTCCTTTTGACCCTGGAACAGAGACGATTACCAGAGGGAAATGATTCAGGTATTTCAAATCCTACAAGGTATTGAGCAATTCCATTCAGGAGACTTCTTCAAGATCAGATGCAAAACACGGATCCATTTGACAAGCGTAATACACTTTTATTGACAAAACAGGAGTCTTCTTTACACAGAGGATTGTAGGAGTCTGGGACCACCTTCCTAGCTCACGATTGAATCTGACCCAAGGGAGCCTTTAATAATCAGCTAGATAAAACTCTTGGATTACTAAGCTAGCAACCACATAAAGAGGGCTAAATGGCTTTCTCTCTTTTGGACTTGTCTTGTCATTTACTTGTTTCCTTTGATATGTTGAGGTTTGATATACTGTATAAGTGAAATCAGCAGCACTTGTTAAGAGATAATTAGCCTTAGACTTTCAGTCTCTTTATATTAGTATTTGCACACTTTCCGTCTCAGCTACTTCTGTTTGTAAAGGGAAGATTTAGATAATATTAAAACATTTTTATCTCCTTGCTTATCTCCTTGATAGCTCATTTAATATACAATACAACATGCAAAATATTAAGGAAGCTGTCAGAAACTTTGGAAGATACTGTAGCTCTCTGTTTCAATTTTTAATTCTCAATACAAATGACTTACCTTGCCCTAAGCAGTACAACACTTAAAGCTTTGTCACACTACAGGACTTGACACGAGGTCTAGTCGGAAAGCATGTCAAATTGAACGACTGTTCTATTGACAGTGAGTGTTCTACGACAGTAATATCTTCTTTTTTATAGTATGTTGATCAAACACCATATTCCAAGGATGGTATAACAGATATACTGTGGAAATGCCTTCCTTCGATTTAATTGTAACAGCCATTTGCTTCCCACCATTAACAAACTAGGAAAAGTGATGTTTACATGAATATAATGAAGTCTACAGAAATCCCTAGATCTTTCTTGCATCACATGTGTATTACCTTATTTAAATTAAATTATATTTGCCAGGCTCCTGCCTATTATTATTTGTGTTATCCTCTTGTATTGCTTACTGCTTTTTAAATATTTGCAACACCACCTGTTTTTGCAGCATCTGAAAACTGACCAGACTGAAGAATCTGACAAGTTTACTCATTATACCAGAATCCAGATCACTGATACAGATTAGATAGAGCAGCGATCCTAGATCTGTTCCCAATGGTACCCAACTAGATTTCATTCCAGTATGAGGTAACCAATTCTTTATCCAATTGCTCACGTTATCTTGGATTCCTGAAGCTTCACATTTGAGGATTAGTCATTCATGTGATACTTCAATAATTAAGAGAAAATTTCCTAGAATAATTTATCTTACCCAACATTAACACAAAACATTAAGCAAAACATCAGTGTCTTTCTTTAATATCACAGATGGGACTACCTGTTTTACCATTTCACTCCCAAGTTATGACAAATACATCAGCCAACAGTGCTGTATATAAAAAACATATAGAGTTCTTAACACATTTGACACCCCTTTGTGTACATAAAGTAATTCGTTTTGAGCCAGAATGAAATGTTTTAGCCAACTTTGTTGTCTTTTCAGGAAGATGACTGTATTTCCGCTATCAGAAGTTAATAAAAGTTAATAGTTAATAGAAGTTAATGCCTGTAAGAGTGTGGTTTGAAACTAGGCACCTTTGCTTATTTTTGACTTAAGACCCGTGCTTCAACACATGATGATCATAGAAAAAGGTCCACTTTAACTGAGAATCCAAGCATACAGTACATCCAGTTAAGCATTTTCACTGAGGGTCACAACCAAAATCTGACCAAAATAAGTTAATTACTGAGGGCCAACTAGGCTACCATCACATTCAGTGCTTCAATATCTGTAATATTTTATAGCTGTGTTCTGTAATGATAAGATCTTAGTAAGTCTCAAGATTACAGTGTACACAAACCTGTCTGTACACTGTTCTAAACATCTGAAAGGTACTTTAGCACTACACAGAGAGAGAGAGAAAACAACCAATCAGAGAGAGCTACAAAAATACTCCGGTTGCCAAAAAAAGTGTTGGTAATTATAGAGAAAAAGAAATAATTACTTTGAGGTCTTGTGATTAAATAATAATAATATATTACTTTTGACATTAAATCCTGTCTGTGCCGTTGCCAGTTGTGCTGCTAGATGTTTAAAGCCTGGTTCCTTGATAAGATCTAACCTTGTGTCTGAGTGGGATTGGCTAAAAATGATGTCACTGTTTTCCAAATACTGTTTTGCCAAAGCTGTCAGAATCTGATGTGCCACCATTTACTTCCCACATCATCACACATTGTTTTCTGTAAGACATTTTAAAAGAAACATCTTCAGGGTGTATATGCAGACATGCCCTTTTACAACAAACCAAAACTGATCACTTGAAACGAGTAAAGGTGCTAGCACAAAATAATCTGAACAAGGCAGGCATGAAAGAAGACAGCAGTGTGAGGATTTGAAACTAAAGACTGGAACAAAGATAAAAAAAAACACAAACCCATAGCTTGCTAAGGAGACTGGCAATACAATCAAGAGTAATCAACCGAAATGACATTAAGCTTTAGGCTACACTATAAATACTATTCAACAATTATGTAATATGCACTGGAAGAATAACTACACTTTTTTCAAATGCCGAACACATTTTAAGAGGTATAACTGGTCTATATACTTTGGCCAAAAACATAAATTCTTGATATGGTTTGCTCAGTCATTACAGTTGGATTTGCTATTTAGTAACTTCTATAGCAAATAGCACATGACTACATGTATTCTTAGGAATGAAATATGCCAAAATGCCTCTTGCGATGAACTTTGAGAAACTAACTCTTGGCAAGATCTAGAAATAAATAAAGGCACTTGCAAAGAGTTTAGAAATGAAAGACATCATCCTTTCACACCTTATGAAGATGGGGTTTGTAAAGTCAGAAGGGCTCTGATGAAAAGGGAAGGTAATGCACTCTGGAGTTTATGGCTGTTTTATGTGGTGTTTTGGAATGCTTTCAAGGTAACATCTGAGTTACATTTGCTACTCTTGAAAGAGAGAGAAGGAAAAGAAGAGCCCTGTTCAGCGGGCAAAAGATGCTCATATTATTCCTTATTATCCTAAGTGGTAGGGGGAAATAATACCTTAGGCTTAATTTACTGTACAAACCCAGCACTGGCATAAAGTGAAAATGCGCATAAATCTGTCCTTCAAGTACTTATCTACCAGCGCAGCTAATTATTTGTTAATGACTGAGACATTCAACAAAGAGGGGACTTTTGCACCTTGGCATTTACAGAATAGCAGATTTATTAAATAGAAAATTTTAAAATGTATATAATTAATATATTATATATAATTATAACATACACGATTCAACCTGTAAAAAGTACCTGTGTTGTAAGGAAGTTCCTTAAATAGTATCATTGATCATACACTAACCAATGCCCCCCCCGCCCACATGAAAAGCTCTTTTAGAACAGCGACAGGGCATGCACACCCAAGACGTCCTGTGCTGAGTTCCCACTTCGGGCTCAAGGCAGGACTCAGTGCACTGGGCACATAGAAACAGACCGAAGCCCCCTCCTTTGTGCGAATGCCAAGCGAGGGCTCAGCACACAGTGGCTCCCCGCTACCCTGAGGCTGAGGGAATTCTGGCAGGGTTAGCTGGTTCAGCTCAAGGATGAGATATGTCTGACTGGAAGGGGAATGTAATGAATGCAGCTTATAGCTCTGCCAAACAGGACGGGTCTTTTGGCATCCCTGCAGTGCATGAGTATTTTAATCCTCAGAGCCAGGCCTGGACCATACCACAGCTCCAAGCAGTAGCCTCGTTACACATACTCTGGAGAGCTCTGGGAAGGAGGACTTGCTGGCAATATGAAAGAGGTTATGACTTTTTGTGTGACCCCATATATCCAGCTTATTATCCTTTAAAAAGCAGTGTTGAATTTATCTGATTACTAGTAATTATTAAAATTAATAAAGAACTCTAAAAAACCTTTTATCATAGGTGAAGCCAAATAGAAGACTTCCGTATTATGGATTTTTCTATGTAAGCTATGTAACAGTTGCACAGTAGATCCCAGTTATCAAGTATTTCTTTCACCAAACTCATGTTTTTAAATGGTGTTTTGAATGTAAAAAATCTTCTAATGCAAAATATTGGGTATATGGAAACTAAATTGCGCATTCGGATACTGAGTAAACTGTAATAAGAATGGCTGTGGTCAATGGATCCTCTTGGAAATGGAGCCATTGACGTTCACGTAAAAACAACTAAATTCCCCAGTGATCAGTAACGTGCTTATTGTAAGGGGCTCTTGGGTGACTTTTCCATTGACAATCCCAAACTGTTAGCTGGTGCTCTGAAACCATGATTGTACAATTTGCTGGCTTTGCCTTGATACTACAGTGTCTGTGAAACTGGTCCTGGCCTGGCTGGGGGTTTCTCTTGCAGACACCTGCAAGTCCACAGTGTCACCAGTTCTAGTTCTCTTTCCCAGTTCACACTGAAGCTTTACTGCTCACCTTACGGATTCATCCGCAAAAGCAATGGCACATGTCTCAGCACGGACAACAGCCATGAGTTTCTCTCTTTTAGCAAAGAGCTGGAGTGCTGAGTTTGCTTGAATAACAATTGCATACTCCAAATTGTAGGCTGTAATAAGGAGCTGTGTGTATTTTGGCAAATACTTTCATCCACATTTAAAGAGAGAAAGGCTTTAAAATGTCCTCATTTCTAATCTCCAGCAACTTTTAATATTAACCAGTGTGCTCAGCTGTATTTTCTGCAGTTCTGCCATGTATGTATCTCACTTTCCTTGGCTGCCATGCCACTGTTTAAAATTTAAGAACTTATTATCTAAATCTGTTCCATTAGTTTTTACACGTAAACTTATTTTACTTGCATTTTAATGTTCTAAGCAGATTTTTTGCAACAGTTGATCACTGCTAAAATCATAAGTAGTCTCTATGGATTGCCTTTGCTATTTTTTGCAATTTTGCTTGAATTAAAATTCCAAAAATATGGCAGCAAAGACTGTATTGAGGTAGAAATAACAACGAAAAGCACAACAGTTATTCAGACAAAAATTAAAAGAAAAGTAAGAATCACAGGTTAAGATCAAACATCTGTGTCAACAATCCCACTCAAAACTATGTAACTGGTTTCTGAAGTCAACATTACACACCACACTAAAACCCTGCCACCTGTTTTTTTTACAGTTGAGTTGAAATGATAAAAAGATCTAGTTTAGGGCATGATTTGACTGCGGACAAAGCTTTGTGTCCAAGATCAGTGAGTGCATATTGCATCCTGTTCACCTCACCACTCACAGCTGGCCTCCTTAGTCTCCTGAATCAAACCCATTGAACATCTTTGGTTAATTTACAGCAAACTCTTAATAAAACTAGTGTGCTTGCAGGCAGATCAACAGAGAAAACTAACGGGAGAAAGCAAAAAGACTGGGAAAGCATTTAACACAGGGGCAGTGGACATCGTACTCTGAATGACTCAGCAATTTGAGCAAGCTGAATAAACCTTAAAATACAGGCACCTACTGTAACATTTCAGAGTTCATTTCTGGAGGAAAGTCATCTGTTCATCTCTAGATGATGGTTCAATAATTGAAGTTCTTGGATAATGCTGAAGACTCCAAATCGCACACAGACTCAACTCTCTGACACTTGAGCAAAGAACTCTCCAGCAATCTGTGCCGTCTTAAACTGAAATAACTTCAAGGGCAGTGGCAACGCAAATTCTGAAATACCATGATGGACAATTATTTTAAGAGTATGAATAGAAAAATAATGGAGATATTAGAATGCCAATGCTACGTTCATTAGAACTACTGTATTCCTTGGTTATGGTGCTCCCTCTTTGTATTTTATTTCGGGCTGTACTGAAATGAAGCATACATTTATTATAATAATTAGAGAGTATCCAAATGTATTTTTGGGTGATTTACAAATAAATGATTCCATCTCCCTATGGCTCTCGAAGAGAAGAAGTGACAGCCACATCCCAAGTTTCTGTCTGTTTGGTAAAGGGGGGTAGCCAGAGACATTGACACTTGCTCTTCAAAACAAGCAAAATGCAACCAAATGACGTTTTGATGCAATAACTGAGGTTAGCAGAATTTTGTTTTGGTCTGGCAGCTCTAAATACAAATCCAGCAGCGCGGAAACAGCAGCCAAAAACGACAGACAGAAACTGTAGAGAGAGTAAGTGGACTCATTGCTGTCAAAGAAGGAAGTCACTGTAAGCTGCACACATATAGTATAATAATAATAATAATAATAATAATAATAATAATAATAA